TGCATATCCGCACGCGACACCAGCGAAGGCAGCCCCTTCGAGTGTTCCACGTACCGATAAAGATCATCGCTAAGAAGTTTCCTATACGCTTTTCTATCCCCCACGTTTACTAGGAGGTGGTTTGAGCTTCAGGGTGTGATAGCAATGGGGTGAATGATTTCTCCGGTGCTGTTCATTGTGGCCATGCAGGTTATGTTAGATGGGGCTGCTGACGTCGGTCAGGGCCTTCAAATTGGGAATCATTGGATGCCACAACTTAAAGCATTTATTGATGATACTATTGTCATAGCGGGAAGTACGGATCATGCTCACATTATTGCTAAGGGAGTTCATTGCGTGGTCAAATGGTGCAATTCAAGCTGCATACGTCAAGAAGTCTGTCGATCCGTAATTGTAAAGTTGTGGCAACCAGGTTTATGTTGGCAAGCAGTCCGATCCCCATTTATGATTAAAAGCTGTCAGATAGCAAGGAAGTCCAGCGCATACATGAGTCACAGGCAAAGGCTACTAGCTATTGAGCAATGCATGCTCATCAGGAAGTTCAAGTCTGATGTCTCCAGTGCATGTTGATTCCAAAACTCCTTTGGTCGCTGCTAATGTACGAAGTTAGTATGAGCGCAGTAGAAGCAATGGAGAGAAAAAGTAACACCGCCATGAAAAAAATGGCTTGGAGCGCCGTTTGTCTGACCGACCTGGCTTTGTACTGTAAACAGGCAAAGTTGGTACTTCCTTTCAAATCGATATCCGAAGAGTTTAGATTCGCGATGATGTTGCGCGAGACAGGAAAGAAGAGGATGGTAGAAGATGCGCTAGAATCTGCTCAGAATTCACTCAAATTGAAAGAAGTCATAGGTTATACATTCAAACCGACCGACGCGGCGAAGGGCAGGAAAGGCCAGATGATGACAAAAGCCTCGGCCAAAGAGGGTAGACTTTTAAAAAAATAATGAACTCCGAAAATGAGCTAGAGTCCAGAAAGCAGCCCCGCAGTCGCAGCAAGGCCAATGTATCATCCTCGATAGTGCCTTGCCATGGGTGTTTACCTGGTTTGAGATTTGACTAATGGCTTTGCTGCGACTGAGCTCTGTCATCGATCTACTTACGGCCTGTTACCTTCGGGCGCAAACATGGTCAAATGGCGTGCCACCTACCACCCGACATGTCGTTTACGCAAAATTAAGTAGACGCTCGTGCACGTATTGTCCGCGTGCAAAAAAAAAAAAAAAAGCCTTAGGTCAGAGATGATAAATATGGCGCCCCAATAAGGTCCTGACAGAGTTGGCAGACACTGTGGACAAAGCCAGGATGAGGACCGACGCGAGGGCAAGTCCTAACGTTCCTCCCATGTGCTTCATCAAGCCTGGAAAGATATCCAAGGGTAATTTCAACAAAGTCGCATACGCTCCATCAATACTTGACTGTGCGAGTGACAACGGACGGTATACCTTTCTGGCTTAGAGAAATACCCAGAACCAATCCGAAAAGCTAAACCTGAGACCAGACATGGTTTTGCACTCTGCGGCAGAGCGCCAACTCATCCTGACAGAGCTCAGCGTGCTGTACGTCGCGAATGAAAAGAAACCAGCGATATAAGCTCGAGAAAAACAAGGAATTGGTAACCAATGTGATGAGGGATATGCAGTAAAACTCTTCGCCATCGAGGTAGGCTCATGATGGCTAATCTCCAGCTTCACATACAATGTAATCAAGCAGCTAGGCTTGCGAGAAAACGAGCATAAGCTGGCACTAAAATAACTGAACGAGGCTGCTGAAAGGCCCTCGAGCTGCCTGTGGACGCAGCGGAACATCGTGGGGGATAGGCCTCGGTAGACTGGTCTGGACCCCTAACGGAAAGGACCTTTAAATCCCTAAAACGAAAGTGTGCTATCAACGTCTGCCAGTATTACTCTACCAACTGTCAAAATCTGTCCGATAAAGCTCCTACTGATGATCGGTGAACTCCTGCTGTGCATGATTGTGGAATTCTTCTTATTATATTATTATTAGAACTCCAATATTCGTCCCCGCCACCTTTTTGAAAATTCTTCGTGTTTTTATTTTTTCGGTTCTCCTCAAGCGAGTCACTATAAGAGGAAAGCAATATAGCCCGGTACCAAGCGGCGACATTAAGGAATTGCTGTCCACTTGGACAAAACTACAGGTTTTCACTTAGAAATGGCACCAAACCATCCATTTAATTAATAAGTGTATGGATTTATTTCCCATTTTTTAAATCTATTCATGTGGGGTTTCATTATATTTACGACACCGGGACGAGTAAATCTCTCTCATAATGATAAAGAAATAATAGGTACAGTGGTTACGATGTCATAAAAATGTATTTGCAACGATTTCCGAATGACATTTGTATTGTAATTTTTTTTTATTTGCAGAAAAGATAGAAGTTTGGATCTGAGAACGGAGTGACTTTTATAGTGAAAGAAAGTCTTATTTTTATCATATCTTCTACCTCATCTTGGTCTCCACCGCTGCCCTATATGTAGGCCTAGAAACCATATATTTAATATCCTGTCTTCTACTTCCTCTTTTTCTACCCCGCTGCAGAATTTTAAGTCATTGCCCCTAAGTACACCAGAAGCATCCCATGTAATGTCAACACCAGTATTTAACAATTTAGGAGACAGACATAACTATTATCACAGATACATATAGATGTGTGCTTTCAAGGGAGATAACAAAGAAATATAATGTTATGGGTGTTCGTCCACCTCCAGTCTTGTTCTAGGACACTAGTTTTGTGTTTTACAGATCTTGCTTATTTGTATGAAGAACTTTGGTTCATGGCATCTCATGAAGCTCCAAATAGTCTACTGTTACCAGATGGGAGGCAGTGGGTCTTGTTTTCCCCACAACTGGGCCACGAAACCTATCGGGGAAATCAGATTAGAATGTTTTCATGTGTTTCAAGAGGATCCGTCTCATTTTTTTTAAAATCACTCCTTGATATTCTTAACATTACTCTTTAAAAAACCCACATATCATAGGTGTTTCTCTCTCTCTCTCTCTCTCTCTCTCTCTCTCTCTCTCTCTCTCTCTCTCTCTCTCTTTCTCTCCCTCTCTGTCTATTTTCCATGTCTCACGTGTATTCAACAACAGCGGTTCTATAAAGCACTTTAACACTCTTTTTCTCATTGCAGATGACATATTTTTATTGGTGCTATTTTTGCTACGAAGTCCTAAACACAGAAAAAGAAAGAAGTTACAAAATTACCCATTACACCGGAATCTAATTTAGAAGCAGCTGACCTCAGAACCAGTGACGTCACAGGTCACGGGATTTACAGCCATATTGCTGAGGGTGTTTATGTTCTCCTGTGTGAAACATAGATCGATGACATTTTTCCTTCTCCAGCCATTCCAGGTTCATTTACTGGTAATATTTTATTCATAAACAATAACTATATGTTGCCACCCGTCGAAAGAAATCTACTTTTAAAATTGATATTGTTGGTTTTAGCAAAAATTTCGCTATTTTTGTGTGTAACCGAGAAGAAGTGACATGGAGACGTGACGATTCTCGGGTGACACAGACCAGGCTTAGATTGTCACCATTGTGTTCACTTATTGTGGTTATGTTGTCTTCGTTGATGAAGTCATCTGATTTATCTCCAGTTAGGAGAAATTTGGGTTATTTGGACTTAAGAAAAGCAGTATCAGTAAATAGCAGTAATATTAATTGCTACTTTTATTATATTACCCCAATAATAGATAATATATGAAAAGTAAACAAACTGAAACTCAGTGACTAGTATATTGTAACTTATGTAAGTATATAAATTTAATTTTTTTGAACAAGGAAGGTCATGCTTGACTTGATATATATCATACAAATAGTGATACTACTAATTTATATTTTTGGAGTGGAGAAATGGTCTATGATCATCCAGACTGCAAGCTAGTGTGTATAATATGAATTGGGAAAGGTGTTTCGTCTTCTTCTCTTCCACCGTGTGTAAAGTAAAGTCGGGAGGTGTGAACCAGCGTCATTGCACACAGTTTTAACCATAAGTGCTCTGCCACCAGTACGGACAGCTGATAAGAAATAGTCCGCCTATGTCACCGTCAGCACGTTTCTCCATTTACCCCAGGGGGTCAACTCTGGTACCCATTTCCTAGAGGCTGGGTGAACTCCGGGAACCGCCCGCCTTCGAACAGCAGCCGTGGGCTGCAGCAAGTCGCAGCTGGATTTGAAAGCAGTTCTCCTATCGACTGCGCTAATGTGGCTCCGGGTGTAAGGTGTTTGAAAGATAAAAATTTATCAAGATTAGAAATCAAGTAAGGTAGACTGCAGGGAAGCTATACAGATATGAGCCAATCAGCATGCCAGGTAAATCATCTTTTCAAAACTACACAGTTACAAGATGTGGAATTGATATTGCAGCTAGTCTTCACCAGCGCACACACACAAATAGGGGCACATACCAAAACACTAATAACATTTTTAAAGCATATTCTAATAGGGGTCTCTGATATGATGGAGGGGGTCTCTGGTGTGTTAGAGGGGGTCTTTGATATGATGGAGGGGGTCTCTGATGTGATGGAGGGGGTCTCTGGTGTGATGGGGGGCTCTCAGATGTGATGGAGGGGGTCTCTGATGTGATGAAGAAGGTCTCTGATGTGATCGAGGAGGTCTCTGATGTGATGGAGGGGGTCTCTGATGTAATGGAGAAGGTCTCTGATGTGATGAAGAAGGTCTCTGATGTGATCGAGGAGGTCTCTGATGTGATGGAGGGGGTCTCTGATGTGATGGAGGGGGTCTCTGATGTAATGGAGAAGGTCTCTGATGTGATGGAGAAGGTTTCTGATGTGATCGAGGAGGTCTCTGATGTGATGAAGGGGGTCTCTGATGTAATGGAGAAGGTCTCTGATGTGATGGAGAAGGTCTCTGATGTGATGGAGGGGGTCTGATGTGATGGAGAAGGTCTCTGATGTGATGGAGGGGGTCTCTGATGTGATGGAGGAGGTCTGATGTGATGGAGAAGGTCTCTGATGTGATGGAGAAGGTCTCTGATGTGATGGAGGAGGTCTCTGATGTGATGGAGGAGGTCTCTGATGTGATGGAGGAGGTCTCTGATGTGATGGAGAAGGTCTCTGATGTGATGGAGAAGGTCTCTGATGTGATGGAGGAGGTCTGATGTGATGGAGAAGGTCTCTGATGTGATGGAGAAGGTCTCTGATGTGATGGAGGAGGTCTGATGTGATGGAGAAGGTCTCTGATGTGATGGAGGGGGTCTGATATGATGGAGAAGGTCTCTGATGTGATGGAGGGGGTCTCTGATGTGATGGAGGAGGTCTGATGTGATGGAGAAGGTCTCTGATGTGATGGAGAAGGTCTCTGATGTGATGGAGGAGGTCTCTGATGTGATGGAGGAGGTCTCTGATGTGATGGAGAAGGTCTCTGATGTGATAGAAGGGGTCTCTGATGTGATGGAGAAGGTCTCTGATGTGATGGAGGAGGTCTCTGATGTGATGGAGAAGGTCTCTGATGTGATGGAGAAGGTCTCTGATGTGATGGAGGAGGTCTGATGTGATGGAGAAGGTCTCTGATGTGATGGAGAAGGTCTCTGATGTGATGGAGAAGGTCTCTGATGTGATAGAAGGGGTCTCTGATGTGATGGAGAAGGTCTCTGATGTGATGGAGGAGGTCTCTGATGTGATGGAGAAGGTCTCTGATGTGATGGAGAAGGTCTCTGATGTGATGGAGGAGGTCTGATGTGATGGAGAAGGTCTCTGATGTGATGGAGAAGGTCTCTGATGTGATGGAGGAGGTCTGATGTGATGGAGAAGGTCTCTGATGTGATGGAGGGGGTCTGATGTGATGGAGAAGGTCTCTGATGTGATGGAGGAGGTCTGATGTGATGGAGAAGGTCTCTGATGTGATGGAGGGGGTCTGATGTGATGGAGAAGGTCTCTGATGTGATGGAGGAGGTCTGATGTGATGGAGAAGGTCTCTGATGTGATGGAGGGGGTCTGATGTGATGGAGAAGGTATCTGGTGTGATGGGGGGGGGGGGGGGGCTCTCAGATGTGATAGAGGGGGTCTCTGATGTGATGGAGGGGGTCTCTGATATGGTAGAGGGGGTCTCTGATGTGATAGAGGGGGTCTCTGATTTGATGGAGAAGGTCTCTGATGTGATGGAGAAGGTCTCTAATGTGATGGAGAAGGTCTCTGATGTGATGGAGAAGGTCTCTGATGTGATGGAGAAGGTCTCTAATGTGATGGAGAAGGTCTCTAATGTGATGGAGAAGGTCTCTAATGTGATGGAGAAGGTCTCTAATGTGATGGAGAAGGTCTCTAATGTGATGGAGAAGGTCTCTAATGTGATGGAGAAGGTCTCTGTTGTGATGGAGAAGGTCTCTGATGTGATGGAGAAGGTCTCTGATGTGATGGAGGAGGTCTCTGATGTGATGGAGGGGGTCTCTGATGTGATGGAGGGGGTCTCTGATGTGGTAGAGAAGGTCTCTGATGTGATGGAGGGGGTCTCTGATGTGATGGAGGAGGTCTCTGATGTGATGGAGGTGGTCTCTGATGTGGTAGAAGGGGTCTCTGATGTGATAGAGGGGGTCTCTGATGTGGTAGAAGGGGTCTCTGATGTGATGGAGGTGGTCTCTGATGTGGTAGAAGGGGTCTCTGATGTGATAGAGGGGGTCTCTGATGTGATGGAGGTGGTCTCTGATGTGGTAGAAGGGGTCTCTGATGTGATGGAGGTGGTCTCTGATGTGGTAGAAGGGGTCTCTGATGTGATAGAGGGGGTCTCTAATGTGGTAGAAGGGGTCTCTGATGTGATGGAGGTGGTCTCTGATGTGGTAGAAGGGGTCTCTGATGTGATAGAGGGGGTCTCTGATGTGATGGAGAAGGTCTCTGATGTGATGGAGGGGGTCTCTGATGTGATGGAGGGGGTCTCTGATGTGATGGAGAAGGTCTCTGATGTGATGGAGAAGGTCTCTGATGTGATGGAGGTGGTCTCTGATGTGGTAGAAGGGGTCTCTGATGTGATAGAGGGGGTCTCTGATGTGATGGAGAAGGTCTCTGATGTGATGGAGAAGGTCTCTGATGTGATGGAGGGGGTCTCTGATGTGATGGAGGGGGTCTCTGATGTGATGGAGGGGGTCTCTGATGTGATAGAAGGGGTCTCTGATGTGATGGAGGAGTCAGGCCATTTGTCTCACACTCTGAAGGACATGGATTCATTTCACGGATGCATCATTTGGTTCAATGATGCAATTTTTAGCAGACACCCCTGTGGGTTGTTGCCAGAGCTACAGTATTCATGCTTTTTGGGATGCACTTGGCAGGCAATTTGTCAATTCTGCAGAGAGAGATCAAGCCATATGGGATAAAATTGGGTGCAGTAAAGCCGATCCTTGTGACTGTAACCTGTAACTAGAGATTACATCTTCTATCCCAACACTTTGCAGAGGTAACTAGAGAATCAGTGTCTTTTCTGAATATTGTCCTATGTAGAAGGCCTTCTAGCCTCAATATCCATTCATCTTTTTCTTCTTTTTTAGCCTTCTGGTTGTTCATCCATTTCTGGACTTTGATCTTGTTTCTGAGCTTGAATTGGGCATGCATATCCATTTTACATATTTGGCTTATTTGTGTGCAGACTGTTGTTTCCTGATCTCTCAGGTAGATGGATTCCTACTTGAAGGAAGTGTTGATTCCTGTGTACATTGGACAGATCCCCAGTAGGAAAGAGTTTCCAGGATAACCATGAAGATGTGTATATAGATCTTGGCCAGTATGGGCCTTGCTCCTCATGCACCACCACTTGTGGCTCAGCTCATGTGTATCCCTCATCCATTCTGTCTCCTCTGGGTTGGTTCTCATAAAGCAAGAGAGACCAGCCTTTTTAGGTTTGAGGGCTATTTTCAGTTCAGAAATCACTGAGGATCTGTTTTATAGAGTCTTGTCAGCTAGAGTTCAATTGTAGATGGATTGGTTTGTTTACAAACTCATTGAATCAAATAACAGTATGTTTTTACACTGACATTATGACACAGATAACTGAGGACTACCTCTCACAACTTGCTGGTTGACTGGTAGACCGTAGTCAATATGTTTGTCACCCCCGTTATAAAGCAACAAGCTCCACTTTTTTTTTTTAATTATTTAATTTAATCGTAAGGCTGTCATGAAACCTGTTGCATATATTCATATTTCTAGTCTGATGGGATTAGAAATAAATAACATCAGATATTTCCAGTATGGGTTCCAGGGCCCCATGTGAGGGGAAGTAAAGAATAGGCCGGCTGCCTGTCTAACAAGCATGTCATACAAGTAGATTAATTAAGGGTTTCCTTTGAGGTCAGAGTGCATATGCTTGAGAGGCAAAGAGCCAACGTTCTGTGCACACATAAGCCGGATCTGTAAAATAGTTGTGCACACATAATTCAGGTTCTGGAAGAAGACTAAAATCCAGAGGTGGAGGAACATCCAGAACTTTGTACTGGAGTTTACAGCAGTGAATGCAGAGAAGAGAAGAAAAAGGTGGTTTGGATGTGTATCAAGACTATCACAAGATAAAGCACAGTAGAGAGCCCTGTCACTTATTCACAAAGCAAGCAGAACTAGAACACGCCAAAGGAAATAATGGATATTTGAGGTCTTGAATACCAGCATCTTATAGGACCACACCAAGGCATGCACTAGATGCCTCTTCAAAACTTGATGCTGAAAGGGACTAGCAGAAAAAAAGAAGGTGGGATTTGTAATTAATTAGTTTCATCCCTGTAGACGCAATGTTGACGAATTTCATTTTGCAAATGACCGATGTGATAAGGGTGTCTTCTTCTTCTGAGCCTTCACCGGCTGTGAACGCTGGTAGGAAGTTCTGGTTGTTCATCCGTTTCTGAACTTGTTTTAGAATTTAAATTTTGTGTACACATCTGTTTTACATATCTAGCTTTTCTGTATACAGTCTGTTGGATTCTCACCTCTCAGGCAGATGTATTACGACTTCAAAGGAAACATCCCTAAATTGCCTACTTTTATAACATGCTTGTTAGGGGCAAGTGGTTCTCCTCCTCCTCCCCCCCCCCCCCATAATTCACAGACTAAAAAGAGGTAGGACTTTGGTGGTGCAAGCCAAAGACAAAATTAGACATGTGTGCAGGCTTGATAATGTTGGACAAGGTAAGAGTGGGTCGGAATGACTGAGCAACAATCAAACTTGTATAGGGTTTTAATTGCATTGGGCCGTGACTACAAGGACTAGCCAGCGGGCGCTGCAGAATCAGTTTAACACATGATTCTTGACAACTCCCATAGTTATCTATACAGATGGGTCTGTTTTGAGAGACAGACGAATCTCATAGGGATTTTTATCAAAAGCAATTGGACATTGCGTAATGCATTAAAGCCTGGTATATGATACCATAAAATCTGTTTTGAGAATGGAGGTGGTCTTCAGAGCCAGGTGTGCACACATGTCATAGTTGTAACTGACTCGCAGAGCATTTTGAGAAATGTGGAGACAGCTATACTAAATGCTGAATAGCAGTCATCACTTAAGAGGTCCAGGGTAGTTAGTATCCTTTGAATATTTTCTTCAGGTTAAGCCGGTATATTAGGAAATGAAAAATCAGAAAGGTTCTGCACCCCTTGGTGGTATGTTGCATGATGTAAGGGTCCTTTGGGAGCAAGTGAACAGTGACAAGGCACAAATAGATCATCACAGTTTGAGGAGAATGGTGCTGGTTCAGCACAACTTGGTGGTGAATTGATGCATGACAAGCTAGATGTTGTAAGGGTTCTTTGGTGGCAAACGGAAAAGTGGGGAGACACAGATGGATCATCATGGTCTGAGGAGAATAGGACTGCAAGAAGTGACAAGGGAATCTGGCTGACGCTCAACACTTAAGGGAGTTGAGTTGAGTTGATTCGAGAACCGACAGTGAAGAGTTCCATGCCATTCCTCTGAGCATCAAGCATCTTCCAGAACCTCTCGTCACTCCCCCCTGCATCAATCTCAGAAGACTGGTAATCTATCTGCTCCTCCGAACTGTACACACTCTCCCACAAGGCACTGACCATGGCTGCCTTATCATGCATAAGTATTCCACAAAGTCATTTCCTAACACACCGGCGTGACCCGGTGAAAAAATCCAGACAATACTCCTCACTCGAGTCCTCTGCAGTTAAGCATGCCACTCTATGCGAAGCATGCCTGTCCTGACCTTCCTCGTCATGCTTTCTGAGTCAGTTACAATCACGATTTGTCTATGTTTTTTCTAACCAGCAGTGTCCACCTCAAGGGAATGGTGAGACAGATTTTCAGACTTACTGGTACCATGAGAATTGGAACTGTGCACTTTCTGCTGAAGATGACAGATCGCTTATGTGAATGGCCTGAGTGCTGTGATGTTGAATCTTGGTTTAACATTTATTCCCCCACAATGGGCCCCCGGAACTCACATGGGGATACCTGTCTTAAGTGAATCCTGTTGCCTCCAGAAAGCTGGTTCTGCAACCTTTGTGGGTTTTCATTACATGACATCTTTGTAGATGTGGTGGGT